TTTAATTTGTTGACTCAACTGCGGAGCGCATTGAAAAAGGACCAACCAAGTTTTTATATATATATATATATATTCAAGTACGTTGTGTTCTTCTTCACCATTGACACCTCGATCCGTCCGCCTCTGGAGGCAATGGTCCCTCAGTCGCTTTACAAGTGAGAAGGCTGAGGTCAGCCGCTGGCTGATGCATGTTCATGCATGAGACAAGTTTCTCCCGGAGCTGGCAGTTCGCTGGCAGTGCTGGTCGAGACTGGAGGTCGGCGGGGCCTGAAATCACGACCGAGCTGTCTGGAAAACCGTGCACGCCAGTAAGATCGGGCTCCGAAAAACTGTCTTGAAAGGGGTTTTAAGAAGCGCTGCGGGTAGATCTGGTGTCAGATCGGTCCTGCGGGAGGCTTTGAGGGGCACTCTCTTTTTAAGGCAAGAGCAAAGAGGAAGGGCGGCAAAAGAAGCTGCGACCTGCTGACAGGAGACTGGGGTTCCCTGCATGGAGAGCAACTCTTCAGAAGACGACCATCTCGGAGACTTCCAGGAAAACACTTGGGGCCCCAGATCCAAGAAGGCGCCCAAGGAATCCCAGGCCAGTGACAGCCCTGACAGCCCTTAGGCTCCATGGCCTCATGAGCGACCGAAGGAGTCCAGGCATCCGGAGACGCCACCAATGAGACCAACGGTGCCATATCTCTGCACCATGGTGATCAGTTGGGGTGGTGCCAGAGGGGTCAATGTAGGCATATATGACAGACGTGGAGTGCCTGGATATGTGCTTAAAGACATCCTAAAGACGGTGAAAGCTAAAGAGAGGAGCAAGCCTGAGACGAGCTCCTGAGGCGGGTTTGGGGATCCGACTGTCGCATGGGTTTGGGGCCCACAGAGACCGGGATTTAGAACTTCATGGGCAGAAGTCCATCGAATGTAGCCGCCTTCTGTCTCACAGCAAGGTCACAAAGAATGAGGAGGACATGATGCACTGGTTGGTTCTTGACCGGGGATGAGGAATCCCAATGACTCCAGTTTATCTTAGGTACCGGTGAGTTGAAATCTTGACAGACTTTCTCGGCGTGAGATAGTGGGAAGTGAGTTGAGACATCGTTGAAACCGCTAACCAGTGGTGGACTTAGCGAGTACATCCTGCAAAAAGTCCATGTCAACTTTTGAGCACCACAATTCATCCCAAATCTGCAGTGCTTAGCTAACTATATATAAATACATTGTAGACGGATGGAGCTTTGCACGACAAGACATTGTATAGTGCTAAATCGCCGCCATGGCCGAAGTGTCTACCATGACCCTCCATGCCATCGTCTTCTCTGGAAAGAGCTTTGAAATCAGCACCCGGCTGACTTGCGGCTTGGCCACGTCCTGCCGACGATCATGTAGACGAATCGAACATGGAGCCCCCTTGATTTGTTGGAAAAAACCATTCAGATGAGAAACCGAATTCAGATTTTCGTGGCGAAAATCGAGTGGAGAAATCATCCCGAGGTGTCCCCCCTTTCGAGAGGTTTTGCCCGGTTTTTGGTGGACTGGGAATGTGACACATGCTGTGAAGACCTTCTGAAGACCCTGGGGTGATCGGAGACCGTTTGAGGATGCTTGTGTCACAGCAAGTCTGTGTTGGCCAAGGATGTGTGGTTGTGGACATGTTTAAAGCATTTATGGTTAAGGCGGATGGTGTTGGTAAAGGCCTACAACAACATATTATATTATATATTTTTTCGAGGACCAGGGTGCAGAGCTGTGCGTATTTGCTTCTGCGTTTCAAGCCAAGGACCCTCTCAACTGCCATAGCTGGCCAGGTCTCATGAAGCACATTCCTGGGGTGAAGCGCTTGAAAATGAACAAACTCAGAAAGGCGAGGGGGAACCTGACATGATGCCCCCCCAATATGTATATGTAAGGCCCTCTAGTCAAGTCGAAACGCAGCCTCTGGTCCATCGAAACGGATCGGCCCCAGGTCCTCTTTGGCGCTTGCGGCGTCTCATCGAAGAATGCTTGGGCGCACTCGTCGAGTCGCGCGTGGCACGGCGCGGTGCTGACCGCGATGTGGTGCTTCGGCTGGAGGGTCAGCGCACCGTGGCTGATGCAGGACTAGAGGACCGGGCTCAGCATGCGAAGACCGGGGGCAGCAAATGGTGTGTGGCTGAAAAGGATTTGCAGGTGTTGCTTCAGTTGTTATAACCCATTATCAGGGTTTAGTGGATGCTTTTGGGGGGGTCAGATCGTCTTCTATTTTGAGCCACTCCCTGGTGTGCCATGTTTGTTTGAGCTCGAAGACGCTGGTTCCCTGACGCGGACATCCAGGGTCTGAACATGTTTGAACTTCAAGTCGGTGGGCGTCTCAGACATAGCACATTCAACACGCAAGATGCATTTAAGAACATTGTCAAGCCAAATTCATCAAATGTGGGGTAACCGTGACTCCTTGAGGATTTCAATGTTCTCTCTACAGTTTGCTATGCCATATTTCAAAATATTTCAACATGGTTTCATGACTGAAAGCATCTTAAACCAAGATGCCTGGCATTCTTTCACCTTTTCACCATCCCATGGTGTCCCCCCCGAAGCATCTCACCTGCATCAATCGGGGCACCTTCAAAACTCCCCAAATCCCATGCCTGCCACAGCACCTGCACCGCACCAGGATGGCGACCAGCTGTTGGTGGCGCTCCGCGACGGCGTCGCCTGCGCCTGCGCCACGGGGGGGGCGGGCCTTTGCGCTGCGGAGGCAGGACGGCGAAGTCGTCTGCTGGGGCGACGGGGTGTCTGGTGCCTCGGCAGGTGGGGCGTGACAGCGAGAAAGAGACCGTGGGGAGCGAAGACAACTAAGAGGGAGAAGAAGAATTGGTCACTTGAACAGTGCAGTTCGGTTGATGTGCTTACTTTAGTGTTGTATGTAGATGTTGGGGTTGTTTGTTGCAGTTGTTTTACATATCCATGTCGAGCTTCAAAGTGACCATCAACGAGTGTTCTTTCTTGAGAATAGGAGTATCCATCGACAGGGATACCTTTTTTTTCCAGTTGGTTTGGCCCAAATCATTCCAGAAGCATTCAATAAGAGTCCAAAACATTCTAAACAAACAATCCAAAGCATATTAAGCATATTGGACAATTCCAAAAAGAAAGCATTAACAAAGAACAATATACTTTGAGCGGCCAGAGAGTATGCCTTAGATGGGTACCCCATGGGCTAGAAGTACAAGTGCGTTGGATACAAGCACAAGCAATCCGCCTGTTCTATCCACTGTGTTTGGTGAATCTCTTCATGTTTGGTGAAAGGGGGGAGGGAAGTGTTCATGGTGTCGTGCACCAAAACAGTGAAATGCATTCAGAATGGGGCACTCGTGTCTACGGGGGGGGGCACTCCTGTCGACCGAGACCTCGGGTGGTCAAAACATCAGTTCAGTGTCATGAAGACTATTGAAGACTGCTTCACCTAGCGTCACCTAGTTGGACCAGCCAGCACTACTTATTATACCGGATCATATAGGTCTCCATTGGACACCCATTTAGGAGGGGTAGGGTGTGGATCAACTTGGCTGACTAGCTCCACCAGCTCCGCCCAGCTTACCAGATCCGCCCTCCTCAGCTCAACCCGAGGCGAGAGCCCAGAATACCTGAGGGGCGCAAGGCATATGGTGGCGACCAGCCAGGCACTCCGTGCAGTGCAGCATGGGTGGACCGGGTGGATGAAAGATGTTTGAGGTGTTGGAAGACACCAACTGGATGTTCCCATTCTATGAACTATAAACCAAAGGAACTGCATGCATGCTTGAACGATATATATGACCTATTTTTGAATATGTTCGATGTTATTTCACTATCTTCTGATTTTACGAACTAATTTATATATTCATGAACTACTGGTGCCTGTGAAATGAACTTGCAATACACTCATCGAGATCTCGCAGAAGTCTGCACCCTTTGGCGACGGAGGATGCAGTTCCCTGCGATGCTTACGTTCCCTGCGGTTTGGCTTCGTCTTATGAGTTGCAATTCCTCAAGTGGTGGGTGAACCAGGACGGTTTAAACCTCACCTCACCTCAGATGCTCGATGCTTTTTGTTCACCCTTCCGACTCTTTCCCGCTTGAAGGCAGGTCGAGTCAACTCTCAAAAAAAGCTTTCTTGACACTTACACCAGACAAGGTCTCCCCAAAAGCTCTCCTAAACCCTGAAGGTTTTAACATCTTTTACTTTGACATGTCAGTTTCCATTTCCTGCCACTCCCAACTCCCAGGCCTTCGCCTTTGTCCTACCGGACGGCACGGTGCGTCACTGGCCCTCCCACACCCCCTGCGCCTCCCGCTCGTCGACCGTGCCCAAGCGCGTGGGCCACGCGGCGTTTCGGCGCGGTGATGACGTGGTGAAGCTCTGTGCGACGAGCAGCGCGGTGGCCGCGCTGCTGGCCGATGGTTCAGTGGTAACCTGGGGTGAAGGATTCTTTGGTGGCGATAGCAGCGCCTAGGCTGCCAAGGCTGCATTGGGATGATGGCAAGGCGCTTTCACCCCCTTAAAGTGGTTTGGAGTGGGTCTCAAGCTGCTTTCGTTGGGTTCCTGAATCCAGTGCACGCCTTGGAGCAGAGGTTTGGCTTCAGAAGGTGCAGGTCTCCTCTATAGGCAAACACTTACATCCCTAGTTACATCCCTCACAAACAGATGCACTACATTGCACTATGGACCACGGAATCCTGGATCTGAAGAGAAACACATACAGTATATTTTATCAACGCATGATTCCCTCTCTCTCTCTCTCTCTCCAGTTTCTCAAGACGATGACATTCTTCAAAGGAGGAGGATGTTCAATCGCTCGCTGAAATCCTCAGAACTGTGCCTCGGAACTGCGTCAAATCGGCCAGTCTTGACACTGGTTCGTTTCAACCTTCGCTCGGTTCATCTTTGACCCCCCAAACCCACATTATGTCTTCGTCCATTTGTCCATCTTTGAGCCTGGGATGAAGCCTGGAGCAAACACTAACAAGATGCCACGGTGTTCAAAAGGAATGAACAAGAACCCTATCTCCCCCAAAACAAAAAGAAACGTCACATCTCAACACCCACATGTCCAGGACCTGGAAATCAAGTCTAAACATCGTCTGACTGGAGCCACCACAGAAAACAGGTGCAAACCAAAAAGAAAAAAACCAACCAACCAAACAAACAAACAACAACACGGAATTTTGTTGTCGCCCCTTCCCGTCCGCCACCCGGGGTGGACCTCTGCAGGTGCCGTCCAAGCGCAGCTCGACGGCGTCGTGGACCTTTGCAGTTCCACCGGTGCCTTCGCCGCGCGGCGCAGCGACGGCCGCGTGGTCGCCTGGGGAAGCGAGGCCCGCGCGGACGCGTTTGGAATCGGAGCACACATGGACGACTGGGGCGGGTGGTTTTGGCACATGGTCACAACATGTCACAACCACATGCTATCTAGTGTTTACAAACTTTACACTTTGTTTTAGTGGTCCAATGTGTGTGTTTTTTGGGTGGCAAGGAGGGTAGTCCTTTTGCTCTTTGATGAGTCAAGTTGACTTCAATGTAGGTGACTGGTCGACCGATCATTCCTCACTCGCTGTCACTTGCTTCCAAGAGAAAAGTAACACATTCGCCCTCTTCCAAGTCCAATGATTGGAGTATATCGATAGTGCGTGTCTTATATCGGAAGCGCCCGTGATTTTTTTCTTTGTTTCCACACAGGGTGGTCAAGACCTCGCCATGACGAAAAAGGGGATCAAGTTGTCAAGCAATTACTGTGGAGCAGAAACTCCAAGTGCCCATACTTTTTACCAGTCCCTAGGGCTCCAACCATATCCTCAGAAGGTGGTTAGACCCCCCAAACCCACCCCAACCATCTTCTCAGGAGGTGGTTGGAGCCCTAGGGAGTATATATACATGTCCTGAGAAACCTCTCAGTTGTGCGGGGCCAATCCCGCCAATCCAGGAGTTTGGTGGAGACTGCAGCTGCTTGGAAGAACATTGCAGAAGCAGTGGCAGGTTTGACAGAGAGAATGCTGATGATGATACTGAGTGTGTGCTTTCCAACTGACAGTGACAGCAGCCTTTTTTGTCCACACAAACAGCCCCCACTTCCTCCCCCAAGCAATCACACAATACAACAAATCCATCTCGACCACAGATTCTTGGGCTTCCACAGGTACTTGGACTTCAACCAATATAAACTAAGCAAGCAACCAGAGCACACCACACTACACTACACAAACCACTCAACCAGGTCATGTCCAAGACCAGCTGATTGATATCATCGACCTTTGTGCCTCTTTGTCAGCCTTTGCAGCCCTGACTCTCGCCTTTCAACCCTTTGTGGAAGGGGTTGAGGATCCAGACATTCTGAGCACAAAGATACTATAGACTACAAGATACATACTCTATATATATATATATATGGTTGACCTACAGAGTCATCCGGACATGACCAAGAGATGTATGACCTGGACCATAATTGTAAACGGTGCGTTGGAGATGAATAGATCGGGAGAATATCCTCGAAACCGCCCGAACTCTACATGTTCAGTCCACTCGTGTACTGACGATGCCTCCGCCCGAACCGAGGCATCGCTGCTTTTGATTTTCCCGGTTTTTTCCAGATGTTGGAATACCCTCCCTCAGACAATTCTGCTAATATAAGCCCCTGCTATCCCCTGCATTATATATTTTCCTCTACAAGGGTTCTCCTCAGGTTCATAGTTTCAGGGAGAAAACTGTCGATTTAGCAGGCGGTAGCACTAACCCAACCCTTCCCCAGCAAATTCAAACCGCGCCTGCTCAGAACTTCTTCGGGCACCGTGGTCCTGTGGGGCGACGAAGAGTATGGCGCCCAAATGGACGAGGTGCGTGCCTTGCGGAAGGTCTGGCGGTTGAAGGCCTCGGTAGGGGCCTTTGCAGCGGTGAAGGAGGCGCGGAAGATCGATCAGTTGTTCCACTGTTGGATGATGGTTGATGGGTTGGGGATTGGAGGGAATACATGGCAGAACACATGTCAGATCACATATCAGACTCAGAATAGATGTTACACCATATGAGACAACACATGTCAGACTTGATGCATATCAGAGGCACATTCTGGGTGGCATGTTTGAATGCAGGAAAAAAGGATATATATCATAACGCGTGTCAGGCAGTGTTGGTCTGTCAATGCATGTGCTCCGCCTTCTTCCAAATGGCCTCTTAGGGTTGGGATTGGATCACTCGAAGTTAAGTAAGTTGTTGAATTTCTCAAAAGAAGTCAGAAGTCTCATTTAGTCATCGCAAGCATGAAACCATATTAAAGCTCCAACAAAAAGTGTTTTGTTTTGCCATGGAACTCCTGCTGTGTGTGTGTGTGACACCCCTCCCCTTTTCGAATCATCTCACGAATTCTTCATCCAGCTAAGTGATGTGCCACGTGTTGCAAACGGACTTGCCACGTGTAAAAACGTATCATTTCCATGGCCATGCCGCAAGGACGGCTCCGTGGTGACGTGGGGAGACCACTACTATGGAGCCTTCAGTGGCTTCGTACAAGATCAACTTCGAGATGTGGAGGAGGTTGAAACTTGGATGGCAAGGGACCCGCTACAGCATGCATAGTCGTATGCACCGAAACGATCATAGCAAGGACTCGGCGCCGGCGGGACTTCGGGTGTTCCGGTGATGGGAGGGACCGGTGCAGGAGAACCGGGCGGGCCGTCCTAGGGCGATTCGGAAGAGATTCGAAGCAACACATACGCCAATCACTCAGAAAATATTTGGAGGTGGGAGTCAATGAGTCCCAGAGTTTTTTATAACACCATCCGCCAACCCACGTCGCAGGAAGATTGAGGGTCCCCATCTAGATGGGTGCTGCACTTGGACGACGTCATGGAACACCAATTCTTTCCAGACGTGTCAGACTGGCAAACGGAACATGACAAGGTGGAAAGGCTTCTTGGATCCACCAAAGCTCACCGGATGTTCAGATCCCAGACAATCCATGTTATTGACTCGATTTACCTCTGCAGTTGACTCTTAAAAGATGTTAAACCACCACTGCTTACTCCTTGTTTGGGGATGTTTTTCAATGTGTTTCACCATCCTCACCCTGTGTGGGGCTTGGTTTCCCCACCGAGCTGAGCGGTACCGCCACCGCAGCTCAGGAAGCCACCTCCTCGGCCTTTGCGGCTCGCACGCGTGGGGGCCGTGTGATCACCTGGGGAGATGCGGAAGCCGGTGGAGACAGCAGTGCCTCGACGAGACAGAGCGGCTGCGCCATGGAATGCGCGCGTGGAGCAGCGCGCGAATTATACAGCGGCTGTGTGTCATGCAATCTCAGAGAAGTGTTCACTACCTCTATTCCACCCCAATTCCACCATCAATTCCACCATCAATTGCACTCGATCTCCCATGCTTCCGGTGCCAACCCAGGTACCCTCCAGATCTTTTGGACTCCAAATACCGTTTGGGCGCCGGTCATCGTGTCAGGTGCCGTGCAGCAGCAGCTGCAGCAGGTCATCCGGCTGTGCGCCTCCGTGAGCGCCTTCGCTGCGCTGCGAGCGGATGGGACGGTGCCCCGGTGACGAGGGTGATGTGGATGGGATAGGGATGGGTGAGGCGGTCGATGGGGATGTGTATTTAAACTAGGGCCTACCGAACCCCAGGGCGTTCCGGTGTTGTGGAAGGTTCCGAAAACAACTCAGTCTGCCAGGGGGGTTGCCTGGTAAAATACACACCCATATGGCCCATATGAGTATATCAATAATATATCAATAAAACTCAACCAGTCATGGATGGTAAAACCTTCATATATATGGAGGGTTGATAGATTAAGTATATGATCTGATTAAGTGATGAAGGTTCACGATGGTCTTCCAACATCCCACCCATATCATGACAACCATGTGCTTTCATGTCAAGCTTAGTCTCAGCATCACCCAGAAAAGGTTTGCTGTTCATTCGTGCAGTTCAAAAATGACTTTGTTCCTACCACTCCCATCCAAGGGCACCAATCCTTAAACTCCTGAAGCCATTCAATGCCGTTCATCCAAGCCTGTCGGTGATGTTGACACCCACACCCACATCGCCCTGCCAGGTCATCACCTGGGGTCACCCCGACTACGGCGGCACCGGCCCGGCCGCATCCGGCCTCCCCAGCGTGTCACCGGTGCGGCGGCTGTGGGCCACGAGCGCGGCCTTCGCCGCTCTGCGCGACGATGGGCGGGTCATCACCTGGGGCTCAGCAGCGGCCGGTGGAGACAGCAGAGGAGTGGAAGAGCCGCTTGGAGATGGGAGGAGGTTGGGAGAGAGAGGTTGGGAAGACGGGCAGGGAGTCGCTTTCTGTTTGTTTGGATTATATTATATCTTAATTATATATAAATTAATGGTCGTTTATATGGACGTTTCATCCAAGGCTGTGTACTTTTGAGATACTTGTCAGTTTTTCCTTGGAAAACGATGCGTGATGGCCCTAAATTTATATATTATATATATATATATATATGTATATTATATGAACGTGAAATATAGACACCAGCTCAGATTGTTTTTTGCAGGAATGTCGTGGAGGTTGCAGAGGAATGCTGTGTGACCTGACAGTGGCTTCGATGAGGTGACTCGAGGTGACCGGACCCAGGATAGGCAGAATGGCTCTATAGGCAGAATAACATCACCATTGGACTGGAGTGTATGTTTGGAGGTCGTTGCAGGTCTATGAAAAGGTAGGTTTGGGGTAGCTTGGGACCCTGTAGGTGAAGATGGAATATTCTTATGCTTGGTGTTTCGTACGAAGGGTGGTTTGGAGCCTTGACTCCTAGATGGTTCTTTCTTTGGACAGGTCCTCAAACACTTCTTCAACTTCACTGATCGACTGCACAACGTTCGATTCAGCATCCTTCGCTACAAAACGCGGGTTCCCGCCGCGGGTCTTCGCCTGGGGCTTGAGCCACCGAGGCAACTTCGAAATGTCTACGAGACCAAATCGAATCCGGGCAGTTGATCTCCATCGCCGCCGAGACAACTTCCGCACGTCCAGCGCCGAATGAAAAGCACCGCTTAAGTGGGTGCACCTTCAGCAGCTACCCGAAGGCTGGACGGACGGATTCGGAATCAGCTGCTTCAGAGGATCGCAAAACATGCCAGTGGTCCTGGAGGTGTGAGGTCTGAAGCACTGGCAGTGAAGCTTATTAGACAGGAGGTGGCCGTATTGTGTGAAAAACGACGAGATGACGAGATTGCGGCAAGCGATGCCTTGTGAAGCAATCAGTTCAAACATGTTCGAACTTCCTAACAGGAAGTTCTTTGGGCGCATTGATCACAATTTCCTGAGCTAGGAAATTGAGCTGATGACCCGATGGCTGAGTGATGTCATCAATCCCGGACGATTGAAGCTTTGTTTCACTTTGCGGCAAACAGGGCTCTGAAAAAGTTGTGTTCTTGGAGCAAAGTGCAAGTGCCAGCAAATTAAGGCCCATGACTTGCGAATTGAAACTCCCATTGGCCCAGAGAGATTCTTCTACCAGAACCGGGATGCAACTAAGCAACACGCTGCATCGATGCTGCATCCACATTTGCGGCGCGTGCTGTGGGAGGAGACGACTCAAGTGCTGCAGACAGATGTTGGAGACCCGACCCATTCGGAGATTCGAAAAAGGTTATAGTTAGGCAAAGGAACGGAGAAGGAAGATCAGGGGATAGGCTGACGTGAGAAGGGTTGGGAAGATGGCCCAAAGTGGATTTGCTCCCCGTTCGAATCTCTCTACAACTCTCTTTGAAACATAAATAACCAGCTGATTGCTGCCAGCTCTAGACCAAGGAGTAGAGGATGACTCAATGATTGTAGGAGCTGCCCTACCCATACTGGAGAACTTTCATTTAAACCAAAAAACACCTGCTCAAATGCACTAAACACTGACACACTGGATCTCACTGAAACCAGGAACCACTTAACATGTCATGCGTCATCTTGCATTCGTCCCGCCGGTTCCTTTGTTTAAAACCACCATCGGAAGCCAAGGCCATCCGTCCCGTGCCGTTCCAATCCGTTGTGTTCTCGCTCAAGAGGATCCACGCGCACGGCGTTGTGCGTGAAACCCGGTGCGGGGGGGTCGTTCGGGCCGAATGGCGCTGCTGAAGGCGTGTCTTTTTTCTCGACGAGCAGTGATGGGCGCCTGTTTGAATGTTTGAAAGATTTTGAAAGAGTTGTTCTTGAACCTGTTTGAGTTGTTGGGAGGCAAACCCAGCAGAATACTTCTAAGCATTTTGTAAGCTGTAATGTGTTGGGGGGAGGAGTTAATGTCCTCAATGAATAGACTATGAGAAGGAGTGGCTTTAAGTAGAATTCTTGGGGTTGAGGCGACCTTCAAGCAGCTTTGTCATGCTTTGTCACTATTGAGGGGAAATCAACCAACTTCTTGTTCAGCTATGCACCTCACCCAACTGCAGGGTTCTGATCAGGGCGAGCGATTTGATCGATCCCAGAGGAATCGGTTGTAGCTTGTTTGATGCATAGTTCATGGATGTTCATGGTGTACTCGACTGTGCGACTTTACTGACTGCCCGGTGTTGTCCATCTAGAATGGAGAGTATATCTACTCGGACCTTCAACGGTGCCACATCACTAAGAAGTTACAAAAGGTGATTCGGGTTCTTGTTTGAGGGACATGCATGTGTGTGGGTGTGTGAGTGTGTGTGGGTGTGTGCACCCTCATGTTCTTGAATGCAAGCTGCAGGTTTGAGAAAGATTTATTTTGTTGTTTGGAAGGTTTGACGAAGATGAACATAGAGAACCTCGGAGAACACCCCAGTGTTGGTTTCTGGAACCACTTGATATAGAGCCCGTTGCACATGTGACATGCATGACATCCCCCCCAAACACATTCGTACCCATGTTCAGTACTTCAGTACCAGAAGCGTTGCCATGCCATCACTCTGGATATCTCTGGGTTTCAAGATATTTCTGCACACACTAAAGTGCTACAGTGCGCCCAGTTGCACCAAAAAGGGCTCTTCATGGGGACGCCTGTTTTGGGAAGGTCCAGGTAGAGACACTGGTGGGGAACCCTCCTGGTCGTATGCAGAAGCTCTCCGTCCTTTTATATTTTCGCAGCCCCCACCTTTGGATCCATGGTCTTAGACCGTCAGGTAGCGGTTACTCGGGTCATGTGTATGTTTGACGAACTCAGTGAATCTCCACAGTTCGGTTCGCCCGGTTCCACTGCATTGGGGGGGGGAGAATTGGTTTTCGCTCCGGGAATCGGTTGCGACGTTGGCCAATCCAAGACCCTACAGACCAGGGGAGGGGTCAGTAGGGAGTCCCCTAAAAAGGCACATCAAGTAGGGTTAGGATGGGTTTAGGGGAATCTCCAACCAAAGCCACGACCCAATGGGTCATCCGGTCATCAACCGTCCATACGGATCCGTCAGACGGCGTCACTCTCGCCTCGCCTAAAAGCCACAGGATGATCCCCGCACTGAGCAGGTCCGGCATGATGGGGCTTGAACAGGGTGTTGGGAGTGATTTGGTGGGTCAAAAATGGTCAAAACGAAAGCTTCCCAAGGGTCCACCAGTCGATTCATGTCCATTCTGTTGTTTTTGTTTTTGATGTGTGTGTGTTGTTTTGGAAGAACAACGTAACATGGAGAAACACTTCATCCATTCAATTTGATTCCGTTGTTTTGTTGATGGGTACCACAGTCGATTCGAACTTGGTGTTTCGGTCGCGGAGTGTTGGCGCGATCGACCGCGACCGAATCGTGGAGATGATGGGAGATGTTCTCAATGAAGCAATGTGACGTCTCAATGAACCAAGAGAATCAAGGGGCCTTTGAGCGCGTCTGGGGGGGATTCACCACCTAAGTCGCTCCGTTCACAGCCCTTAGACTTCCCTCAAAACTGATAGGGATTAGTTCGACCCCTCCGACCCCTCCAAAGGCTTCGGGGCCGAACGGGCGGTCGGAGAACTCCTGGGCACTGAACTGGGAGCTTCCCTCATGTCTCAGAGATGGCGTTCCATTCCCTCATGTCCAAACCCGCAATGGCCTACCATGTGTTTGGTGCCAATTCCCTCATGTCTCATGCGTTTCCCCCGTCTCTTGGAGACTTCCAACGCCGTTGATTTGATCGATGGCGGCCATCCTTCGAGGAAGGGGGTCTCGCCGAGTCGGCCGTGCATTGCCCATGAGGTCCAGGAGCACTTCACGCTCCGGAAGCTGCAAGAAAGGGCCCGGGCGGCCAGGGGTGGGGTGCAATGGTTCCGGGAGGCTCCCGTCTTGGAAGGGGGGCACGGCACAATGTTGGAGACATGTGCATTGCTGCATGTATGGTCCAAAAATTATATTATCCAAATTAAATACATGCATAGTTTATATATACTGTAGCTGATTTGATTTGTAGCAAGCATGCGCCTGAAGTTTGGTCACATGGTCGATGAACCAACAGACGGAGCGAGGATGTACTGTAGCTATATAGTGAGATTTGGCACTTTGTTTTTGTGAAATCAGTGGAGATGAATGGCAGCTGCTGTTCTTTTTGTTGGAAGGAGGATGCATGCACCACTTCAATTCGATGTATTTGGGGGATGATTGTGGTTTGAGAAGAGCTTTGGGCATGGCTGATTTTTCATGCTGCTTTGCACTTGGAAGCACATACCATGGGAAGTGGCTATACGAGTGGGTGAACCGTGCCGATTTTTCCATGCAAGATGCAAGATTTACCTATCCCACTACATGACCCAACCAAACCGCGACACGGTCCATTGGTCCACGAACAGAGGGCGCTGGTCGCTGTGTCCACCCGAGGTATGGCGCTTGGAAGCCGAGAACAAGGAGTTGAAGGCCGCATGCCTCGCACCGCGGGGTCATGGCGGAGCCATAGGACATCCAGACAGATATGTGACATGTGATCCAATGATGGCAAAGAAGAGCTGTGCTTTGCTGCGCTACAGCAAGTCAAGAAAATTAGCAGGCAGAAACTCCCAGCCACTCCCAGCAACTCTAACAGCCAATAAACCTCTACAGCTTGTACCTCTAAAACCAGAAGAAAATTCCCAGCTAGCTCCCCAGGTAGCTCGCTTCGTGGCCAGGTTCAAAACTCCATCCTGAACACTCAGTACACCTCGCAGACCGAGACGCAAGCAGATATTCTCAGGAGCGATGCGACCTCGATGCTCGCTCAACGGGCCGCGCCCGTCTCGCTCGGCCACACAGTGTGGCAACGAACTGTGGCATGCGGCAGAACTGGTGGCTAAAGCGGGTAAAGATGGCCATGGGTTGGTTTGCTTGAACTGACGAACCGAGGGTTAGGGTTTGCAGGTGTTTTTTGTTGCTGTGCTCATTACAAGTCACACCTGAAACCGCCTGATGGACGTACTTACTGTAGAATACCAACATGGAAAATGGAAGATCGCCCCTTGAAAGATGTCCTCGTCACAAGCATGGGCGTGCTATCCACCCACCTTCGGAGAGAGGATGCACGGTGAAAAAGGAACCTCCAAACAACTTATTGCCTTGTCAAATGGGATTTCCATGTAGATTGCCTCTACACAGCTGCAGCTGGCAGTCTATCCCGCACTGAAGCGGGCCACACAGAAGGTGTCCTGGAAAACGACTCGCACTCTCCGGAACTGGTTTACTCAGGTTGTCCAGGATCAGGCTTTTGATGTCGTGTTGCGCCTTGCGTTTGATCATTGGCTTTGGACCCTTTCAAGCACAACGGCCGACCTTCCGTCATGTCTCCGTCTAGCCAGTGCTAGGCTAACATGGCATGCTACAGTGTCCCCCTTCGGAACGGGCGCGCCGTGGAGGTCGTGACGGTTCGGGTCCCACGCCCGGATGCGCCGTCGGCAGGACGCTGCACGCGAACTTGGAGGAGAACTACGCAACCATCGACGAGCAGAAGCGGAGGATTGAAGAGCTGCTTGAAGCAAAGCCAGGGTGGATCGGTTTTTTTCAAGTGCCCAATGCATCCCAAGAAACTACAAAAAAAAACACAAAATGGGAGTCTAGGGTGCACCTCCAAGTCTTCTGGATCAAAAGGTCGCCCCGCAGACATTTCATGGAAAGGGCCTTGTCTCCCCTTTCCATGAGACTCTTGGAGACGACTCTCTGGGCTCTATCTAGTTCTTTTTCCAGGCAAAGCACCATCCTGGGCTCCAAAGCTCAAATGTTGTCGACAAAAGATTTGGATCCTGGCTTTTCGTGCGAACTTTTTGGATCACTGCCAAAGAGGCAAGATGTAAAATCATGTTCCGCAAATGGGATCTTAAATTCATATATTTCACACATATTTCACCCGTTTTGTCCAATATGGCCTTCCATTGCAGCCTAAGGTTTGTTTTGGATGAGCAAAACCACATGAAGGTTTGTTTTGTGATGATCCAATCAAATGACCACTGCCCGAGGGTCTGAAGGCGACTGTCCGAGGGTCTGAATGATCACAATCTGCGCGACGCCGGGTCCAATCTGGGAGAAACCATGTGTTCATGGACCTTGAGAAGCTCACAGAACCACCGTTTTTGTCAGCCTGACAGAGTTCAGACATGTATCTTGGACTCAGAGTCTAGCCAACTCACCCCCAAGAGATAGACTCCTCACATGAACAGAACATGTAGATCAACGTCCCGAATTGATGGTAGGATGCAAGGCAGTACATACACTTTGTATAGCATGAACTTGTACTCGTACGTGAGCCCCTTTCTGGCTGAAAATAGCGCGCTACCCGCTTGCATGGTAGCGGAGCAGGGTGAGCTCCTGCTCCGGGTCCCCTGTTAGACAGGGTAAGACCCGCGCTCGGGCGCCTGCGTGGCGGACACCCTGTAAATCCACGTTGTGGTGTGGGCACGGTGTAATTCCTCCCCGAGTGGAGGTGTCAAGCAGCGCCCATGGCTTCGAATGCTGCGCCGCTTACTCCGCCAGGTGCATTCTCGCTCGGAGATTCCCTGGCTGCGGCAGCTGAAGCAGGTCTTCTACCTCAACAACAAGCTCAGCAGCAGCAAGCTCAGCCAGCCCTTCCAGCTCAGCAGGTCGGCGCCAGTGGTCTCATCGACACCAGAGCCATTGGCAAGTTGAAAAGCTTTTCAGGCAAAGAAGAGGAATGGGCAGCCTGGGTCTTCGTGGCAAGAGGGTACCTCAACTTGCTGGATACAAGCTACCAGGCCCTCATCCAGGCTGCAGAGAATGCCAACCGGTACAGCGACCTGATCCTGAGCGATATGGGGCAGCACGCCCAGGAGAAAGCCATCATCCTGTTCAACCTCCTCACCCAGAGCGTTGATGGCAGAGCCCTACAGGTGTTGATGAATGTGGAGAATGGAAATGGCTTCCAGGCTTGGAAGGCCCTCTGCGAGGCCTATGAGCCTGATGTTGGAGGAAGGCATACAGCCATGCTGATGAGCATCATCGCCCCGGCTTGGGAGACTGTCAAGGAGAACGATTTCCTGGAATCCCTGGAGAGTTGGGAAGTGCTGACGAGGCGCTATGAGATCCAAGCCAAGGAGCATGTCTCGGACTCCACAAAGATTGCGGTCCTCATGAAGCATGCGCCCATGTCACTGAGGTCAGCCCTGAGGACTGCTGGAGCTCAAGTTGGGACTAACTACGAGCGAGCAAAGAAGTTTGTGCGAGATTTCCTCCAAGCAGGACAATACTACAACGCCAAGGGCGAGTTGGGCAAAGACGATGGTGGAGCAGCACCGATGGATGTTGGTGCAGTGTCCTTTGACAAGGGCAAGAAGGGCGGCAAGTCAAAGAATGACAAAGGAGTCAACAAGGGTGGCAAGTTCGACAAGAAGGGAAAGCCACCTCCTCCAAAGAAGTTCAACGGTGAGTGCTCCTACTGTGGAAAATGGGGGCATAAGAAAGCTGATTGCCGCTTGCTGGCCAAAGACAAGGCCAAGCGTGAGGGAAAAGGAAAAGGTGGCAGCACCAATGCCATCACAGCGGCATCGTCATCGGCAACTGGATCTGCATCCCCTGGTGGTGGACAGAGCACCAATGCAGTGTACTACTGGCTGCCTGGTGATGGAGAGCGTGTGAACTGGGCAGACGCTGAGGACGTCTTTGACATCGAGGATGAGTACTCAGACGAGATGTGGGTGATGATGATTCACCGAAGCAAGCAGCCATCGGACTGGCACTTGCTGGCATCCCAGTCGCCTGACAAGGAGATCAAGTACCTCCTGTGGGATTCAGGCAGTGATGAGCATCTATGTCGGCCTAGCTTTGGCGGCAACCGCCACACTGAGGAGAGTGAGGTGAAGTTGATGGGCATTTCAGGACAGTGCCTTGGACGACTTGGCAAGAAGAAGGTGAACTACAAGATCATTGGCGAGGACAACAAGTTCCTGAACGCGGTCACGGAGTTCAAGGTCAGTGAGCAGGCCAGCAAGGATGTCCTGAGTGCTGGGAAGATGAGCAGGAATGGCTTTGCAGCTGACATGAGGAATCCCATGAAGCCTTTCCTCACACACCCCCAGCTGGACTTCAAGATTCCCCTGTATCTTCACTGCAACTCCTACTATGTCAAGGTGCGGGACGACGAGACGATCCCCATGGACTTCATGGTGAACACTGGTGTGGTGGCACCTGTGGCAGGTCAAGGAGAAGAATATGAGTGGGAGTATGCAGGCATTGAGGATGAGGGAGAGGGGATTGAGATGGTCCCCATCCCACCTGAGTTTGCAGAGGATGAGGCCCATGCTCGAGCTGACCGTCCACGACTACATGGATGGAGCAAGGTGGAGGATATGAGAGCTAGACTACGAGAGCTCAAGGAGCCTATCTATGGTGACAAGCACACCTTGTGGAAGAGGTTGCAGGCTGCAGAAAGAGCTCTGTCGATCAGGAGGGCACGGGCACGAGACTATGTTGAGAGAAACTCTGCCCGACAGCAAGCCTTGCGTGAGGGCAGAGAACCTGATGTCTCCTATGTGCCGGTACCTCAGAAGCCGGACACGGAGGAAGTTGAACGGCACCTGATCACACATCTGCCGCCAGCACCTTGGTGTGAGTTTTGCACCAGAGGCCATGCAATGGATGATCCCCATCGACGCAGGACAATGGAGCAGAAGCTGGCCGAGAACCACTTCGAGCTTGACTACAGCTTTCTCAAGACAGATACATCCATTGCAGAGCGGTTCGAGGAGAGCTCAGACACGATCCTCTCCATCGTGGATAGCGGCACCGGGATGGCCCTGGCAATGTCCATTCCTGGCAAGAATCTGGAGACACCCTACGTGATCAAGACAGTGACATCCTTCATAGCACAGCTGGGCTACATGCAGGTGAAGCTCCGAAGTGACAATGAGCCTGTGATCAAGAAGATCGTTGCCAAGATAGCTGGTGCACTGCGAGAAGGGAAAGCACCAGGAGCTGAAGGACTCAAGATTCAATTTGAAGAAGTGCCAAGGTACTCATCTCAGAGCCTTGGAACAATGGGAGCATTCCAGAAGTTGCTCCGTGGTGATGTCTTGACCCTCAGGTACCAGACAGAGGCTAGCTATGGCATCACGCTCCACACCTCACACAACCTGTGGCCATGGTTGGTGAGGTGGTGTTCATTCGTCAGGAGCAGATTCAGCGTCAAGGGCAACCAAAGGACAGCATATCAAGATGCCTTCGACACGGCATACACCTCGCAGTTGGTGCCCTTTGGTGAGACTGTGCTCTTCAAGATCCCTATGAGTAAGGCCAGAAGATCCCACAACAGGGCAGTGGTGCCCAAAGGGGAGACGGCATGGCGTCAGGGCATCTTCCTTGGGAGAAGTGTGACCAGTAACGAGTATCTGCTGGGAACAGAAGATGGGACAGTGACGGCCAGGAGTGTGCGCAGACTAGCTGACAGCAGCAGGCGCTACAACAGAGAGCTGATGGAGAAGATGATCGGTGTGCCGTGGGACATGGGCACAACCATTGGCAGGCCGAAGAGGAAGGCCGACATCGCCTTGCCTCAGACACCAAACCTGATCCCGACCGAAGAGACGGCCAAGAAGAGCCCCAGGCTGGAGCCGAGTGGGGAGGTCATCCAAGAGGGGGACGAGGGAGACTTTCCTGTACAATCAGGTCCTTCGTCGGCATCGAGACCTACGGCTGATGTGGGCGGTGATGAGGCAGCACCTATGGATTTGGGCATGTCTGCAAGACGGGCATGGGCAGGAGAATCTGGTGAGATGAATTCAGAGGCCAAGAGAGCTCGCGTGGCTGGAATCTTTGTGGGTGCATTGTACTCGCCAACAGAAGACACCATTGTGTGCGAGGATGACGTGGACCAGGCCTATGAGGACTCAGACAATGAGGAGAGCAAGCCTTTGAGCAGGCAAGAAATGGATGAAGGTGATGCAGAGGAATTCCGCAAGATGGACAAGTACCAGACCTATGACCCTGTGGAGCAGAAGGATGGCATGAAGATCCTGGATGCTGTCTGGGTCAGAACCCGGAAGCCAGATGGCTCGGTGAGGTGCAGGTACTGTGTGAGAGAGTTCAAGCGGGGAGACCCGCGCACTGATGTGTTTGCGGTGGCATCCAGTACCTCAACGTCAAGGGTCATTGATATTGTGGGCATCAAGATGGGCTACAGCTTCTTGACAGCTGATGCAGAGAATGCATTCTGGCAGGTGCCAATTGCAGAAGAAGCCTACATGAAGCCTCCCAAGGAGTGGTTGAAGAAGATGGCAGACAGCGGAGTCGATCTACCTGATCGCGTGGTCTGGAAGCTCAACACTGAGTGGTATGGCAGACGCATTGCTGGCCAGGCCTTTGTGGAATGGGCAGCTGGGCATCTCAAGGAGATTGACTTCAAGAGGAACCCAGCAGCGCCATGGATGTTCTACAATCCGGCCAGTGGCGTGTTGATGGAAGTGCACATGGATGACTTCTATGCCACAGGACCAAGAGCAGCTTTGCTGGAGTTGGAGAAGAAGCTCCGTGAGAAGATCAAGATGAAGAGTCAGATCCATGAGAACAGCGTGGGAGAAAAGTGGACGCACCTCAAGAGGACTCGTGAGGTCATGGATGGCGGCATCTTCCTGACACCCCGTGGGAAGTACATCAGCGACTTGTTGAAGATGTTGGGTTTGGAAGAGTGCAATCCGGCTCCAACACCATACCTGTGCTCGGAGGTCAAGGAGGGCAACAAGTTGAGTGGGGAGAGCTTGAGAATCTACAGGGCAGGAGTTGGCATTGCCCTGTACCTCTCCTATGACAGGACGGATGTGCAGTTCGCAGTTCGTGAGCTGACCAAGGACATGAAGGAGCCTACAGATGGAAGCCTACACAAGCTGCATCGTTTGGCACGCTACCTGCAGGGCACAAAGGACTATGGCGTGCGGTTGCCCAAGGAGGGTGAAGTCGAGATTCTGAAGGTGCATTCAGACACTGATTGGGCAAACTGCAAGAAGACCCGGAAGAGCTGTGCCTGTGCAATGTTTGAGGTTGGCGGCTGTTTGCTGTTCAGCTATGCCAGGAGCCTCCAGATGCTTTGCCTGTCGTCTGGCGAAGCTGAGTTCAATGGTGGCGTGGCTGCCTGCAGTGAGGGATTGTTCATGAAGGAAGTGTTTGCCTTCATCGGCTTCCCGCTCCAGATGGAGGTCTACCTTGACAGCAGCGCAGCCCGTGGCGTGTTCCAGCGCCAGGGAGTTGGGAGGATCCGACACCTCGAAGTGAAGTCATTGTGGGTGCAGGACGCTTTGCATCGAAAGCTGTTTAGCTTGCATGCTGTGCCAAGCCAAGACAACACAGCAGACTTCGGCACCAAGGCTTTGGCAGTGAAGAGGTTCAATGTGCTGAGGTTGAAGCTGGGCATCGGGCTGAAGGAGGAGACAGCCTATGAGCAGGAGAGCAAGAAGCATGTTGAGAGCATCAATGCCATTGCCCTCAGCGGGTTCAGCAAGCGGGCCCTTGTCATGGCCATGCTGACTCTCTTGCAGAGCGCTGAGGGAGTGAGGACTGAGGAGCCCAATACAGAAGCATCAAAGTGGGGATTTGATTGGATCTTCACGGACCTTGCAGTGGCCTTTGGCATTTTGCTGGTCATGCAGGGCACGGCTTTGTGGTGGTGCTTCCGCATGGTGGGAAGGCACCTTGCCTTGAGTGGGGGCTTGAGCTTCAAGCCGGCGCGGCCCGAGAGCAAAGATGTGGCCATCCAGTGCGAGAGGAACACTGGACGCTTTTCGGAAGTGTACCTGCTGGAGGGCAGGGATGTTTTCCACACGGACTCGACATGTCCGCGCTTGCATCAGAGGACACGCCCCTATGTACAGCTAAGGAGCTGTAAGTGCTGTCCCGGGATCGGTTTTCCTTCCATCCCGTATGCAAGCGATGCCTTGTAAAAGAAGTTTGAAGATGAACCCCTTTTAAGTGGGGTGCAAGGCAGTACATACACTTTGTATAGCATGAACTTGTACTCGTACGTGAGCCCCTTTCTGGCTGAAAATAGCGCGCTACCCGCTTGCATAGGACCCTGACACATGCCACCCTTTGCCGAGGCTTGAGCAGTTGATGGACGTCTAAGACTCAGGGGGAGAGCGCGAGAGCGCGAGAGGTACCAGTCGCGCGACACATGGCCTGGCTGGAACATATAGGAACCTATTTGGAGGTGCGGTGGTAACGGTCCGGTGGGCTGAAGAAGGGTTGGTGTATGGCTGGAAGGGTTGGTGGAGCTTTCAACTGTAAGACTGGAAGATGAGTAGAGCGTTTACGCTTGCACATGAACCCATTTGTTTTTTTTCCCCTAAAATCCCTATATTTATATTTACATATTATGTACCAGGGCCCCCCCAAGGGGTGTCTCATCATAGCCCCTTAGAGGTTAAGGAGTGTCTATTCACCACCCCTTCACAGGGCCCTGGTATAATAAAACCATATAAAACCCAACACGGGTTTGCACTGATTTTTTTTTGCTACATAACTCCATGTACGTCGTGTATGTGTGTTTTCCGCGTTTGCTTAAACCTGATGGTGTGCTGCACCCCTTTAGGATCAGAAGCAACAAGCCAAAGACGACTTGGACGCTGCGATGGCGCTGTGACTTGACAACATGTGGGTGGGTGCTTTCGATGGGTGTGCACTTTAAGAGGGGGACCCCTGTTCTATTGTGTAGATTGGACAATTTTCCGAAGCAAACCCAGAAGAGAGAATGCCTGGGAGGTCTCCCTGGAGACACTCGTGGCCTGGTCTAAAAGGACTTGTGGCATGGTCTAAATGTCCTGCAGGCTGGCGAATGTACATGCCGCCTGTGCAAGTGTATTGCAAGAAGTGTTCTCTTTCATTTTGGTCATAGTCACGATTTCCCACCCAACAAGAACAACACACTGTTCTTGACTATTCTCGACCTCAAGTTTCTTGACAATTGCTGCTCTGGAACCCTGTCTCCTTCTTTCCTTTGGTCACTAAGTGGCCGAGAAAACCCCCCGAGTTGTGTGACAAAGCGTGGGCTGTACGACCCGCAGCGAGGAAAGACAACGACATCGCCAAGCTGAAAACCCAGAAGGAAGAATTGCAGAACCAACTCGACGAGGCGCGGACCGCTTAGCGCCTCACGGCTCCCGTCGCTGGGGCGGGACCCGAAGTCATGGCAGCACCGGCTGTGCAGGTCGGCACCGGCTCGTGTTCTGGGTCCGAGGTGGCATGATGTGGCATGACTGTCACACTGGGTGACGAAGGATTGTCCGATGCATGGGATAGCTCGGTGTACAGCCTTTGGGGCTGGTTGCTCAACATGCCTTCATGTGGCCAAATGTGCAAGAACAGAGGAAGGGAAGATGGTTTGGGGTCCCCTCATGCTTGAGGGGTGAGAGGATTTGTTTGACCTGATTTGGAGTCTTGGTTTGAGGAATCACCTTTGACTAGATTTCCCACTGCAACACAGGTGGCAGGTGTCCATGTCCTTCCATTTTCCACCAATGGGCCAGTATGTGATCTACCTCACATGATTCTGGAGTTCAAAACCAAACAGCATCACTAATTGAGTTGGGTCCCTTCAATTCCTTTCACTCTCCACTCTTCCACGTCGGAGTCGCTGGCCCAGCCCGACAGCGTCGGAGGTCCGAGAGTTTCAGCGGAACAAGGAGAACATGGAGCAGGCGACCCGAGAATGACCTTTTCGATCACGGCGGCTTTGGACGGTGGCCACCTTGGGTGGTGTGGTGGTGTGTTTTTGCATGGGAAAGAGCTGAAGAATTGGTGTTGTACTTCTACAGGCACCAGCTGAACCTGTACGACTTGAACTTGCTGGGGTGTATGATTATTGGTGGGTTGATTAAACAAATATCCATGGAGAGCCCAAGAATTCTTAGGGATGTATTATTGAGCCATATCATAATATCATATAATATATTATTGTTATGTTTTTTGAACCTGGTTCTAACTATGTTCATATATTGTCCGTAAAGGAGATTGAACCCGATGCTACTGCGAGCGAAAAAACGTCCTTCTCACGCCTGGTGGATGAATCGACTTGTGCCCAAGATGTCAGGACTGTTCAGGAAAGTTGTTGGAAGTTCCAACTCCGTTGGTCGTAGGAGACAGTAGCTCTGGTGGAGTTACTGTGGAGAAAGTAGCGGTCTCGGATCGCATGCGTGAAACGGGAATTGGACTCACCGAGAAGGGGGGCCGTGAAGTCCAATATGCACTTGAATTCAACGGTAAGAATAATAGAGAATGGAGTTATAGTTATAGGATGTTATCGATTCACACCAGGTTGCCTGACAATTGCATGAACTAGACGTCATCTAAATTGAATGCACGAGACGTCATCTTAAACGCGGTTCTGTTTCGCAGTGGTCCGAGGAGTTGGCTGCCTTAAAGCAACAGCTGGCCGACACCAAAGAGGATGCGGCTGTTTGAGCACTTCGTGAGCGCTTCGTCGATGAAGGAAAGATAGACCAGTCTTCCATTGGGTCAGGGGGTCTCCCTAATGAAATAATACACACCCACATCGGGGCAAACCTTGCAGAGTAGAGTTTGTTGGTGATGTCCCAAGATTTGTGCAACGCATTTTTTAACTTATCAGAACTAAATATCAGGCCGCAGGACTTCGAGGTGGGGGGTTCCATGGCACCCTATGGACTTGAGGAGTTTCAGCGGAAGATGAGCGACATGGACCGAAAGAAGGCCATGGACATGCGGACGCTGAGCAAGGACGGAGTGCCTGGACCGAGTGCCAGGGCTTCCCACAGGGCAAGCACTTGGGCCTGGCTTGGTGTGAACGACTGGTGGGTGTTTGTTTAGTTTTATACATTATGCATTGGGTGTGTCCCATTACCTGTAACAGTTGGTAAACAATTAACTATAACTATGTTAGAGAAAGGCCTTCACTAACCAATAATAATAATCCTTTGTTACAAGGAATGGGATATTGATTGCTTTGATGTGATATTTGATGTAGGAGCAGCTAGCACACTGACGTGCAATGCCAAACAAAAGAAATTAGTATATACATAATCATAGTTATGGACATGATATACAGTTGCTACCCTTGGCACAGCAATCAAACAGCAAGCTTTGCATTTGCTGCACCGCAGGACTTTGAGAAGAAGGTAGAGATCGAAGCTGCAAAGCTCCGGGCGAGAACCAAGGCAAGACTCGAATGGATCGGGGATGGGTGCTTGAAAGCAACATGACATGCGGCGGGGGGTTGCCAAACGATTGAGAAGCCAAATATAGCCAAGTATCAAGGATGTGCAATTGGGTCCTTTTTTGCTCTGTGTGATGCAGTTCTGAGAATTATGCCCTGAATGGTCAAGATGGAAAGCGGATTGGAATAGACAGTAACGCCCATGTAGCTGTCCGAATACCACATGTAGCTGACATGCTGCGTTCACCACGTGCTCTGTTGCTTTGTCTGCTCGTGACTCTTGGGACGATCGTGACGACCAACGGGACGGCAAGTGGAGTGGATGCCCGTTGGATCTCGTTGTCAAAAGTATTTGGATCTCGTTGTTTTGAACATGTTTCTTCGACTTAGCACAGATCATACGCATGATTTGTGGGCGTCTCGATGCCTCAGAAAGAAAGAGCAGAACTTCATTCATGTCGGGGCAGGATCAGCTGGATTCCACGACCAAGCGGACCATCATGGAAAATGAGCAGATGGCGGGGGCACTCGGCGGGGTTCTTCGCGGTTCTCTTTCACTGCGGAGTGACATGCGGGGGGGCGACATGGGAAACATGCGGGATCTTGGACGGCGAGGTGAGGTCAATCGCAGGAGCCAACGAACCGAAACCCTCGTGAAACGAATCGCATGGTGAGTTGCATAGAGAATCGCATGGTGAATAGCCCATTGGAGCAAAGGCAGGCCTACATGCCGAATCAATCAAGAAAGGTAGGATCAAAGGTGCAGCCAGCTGCGCCGGTTCAATCATTTAACTTGTGTTCCCCATCACCAGAAGCATGTTAACCACCAACTGCAGTTTGTAGGTGGGGGGCTGCAATGCCCTTTTAAACATCAAGTGTTTGTAACAGTTTCATGTTTGCAAACGTGAGAAGCACTCTGTCACATGGTTTGGGAGGCAATGTGACATGTGGTCGATAGCCATCTACATACAACCACTTTTGCACCTGACAACCAATTCGATTAGGTGTTTATCATCACTGCTGCGTGCAGTGCATTTTCTTGATAGTTTGTATAATGCGCATGTAATAGTGGGTCAGCAAGGTTACCGCACCAGACTAGAAGCACTAGGCTCCTGGTTTTGCCAAAGCCTCACTCCACTTAGAAAAAGATAACTCAACTCCACTCCGGTCCAAAAGAGATGGCGCGAAACCCCACACCGACTGCGCTGGCGCACGCGGCCAGTTTACCGAGCTTCATTTCCAGAGCAAAGAGACGGAAAAGCTCATGGAGAGGCGGCTTGCCTTGGTGTCACCCACGACCCGTCGAGCCATAGCGTTGTGATGCTGTGCTGATGCTGTGCTTAGCAGGCTCCCTGCAGAGAACTGGAGAATCCATGCACAAGGGGGGATTGGTACATCTCCAATCTCCAGATCAGGTGTTTTGAAGATGGTTGGAACATGTTTGAACCAGTTCTTATATCGGCTGTGACAGTTCGTGTTTACTTGCACTGGTGAATAGCGCTTCTACAAGAGCAGCCATGTTTGATCTTGTTTTGACGTGACAGGAACCAGTCCCTGCTGGAAGAGAACGCGCAGCTGCGGCGGAATCTGGTCATCCACAAGGCCCCTCAGCTTTGCGGCAGTTGTGTTGGTGTTCTGGCCGATCCCGACCCTGACATACCTTGACCACATTGAGTACACGTCCTGTGTTTTCACTGAAATGGCACGACGCAAAGAACTCAGAAACTCCACAACTGGCAGAACTGATGTGAGCGGCTCAATGTTGAGTATCATAACTTGACGAGACCAGCTCGGCAGAAACCTTTAGGGGATGGGAAGCTGACATGGTACACATATTGCAGAGACCACCAAGGTGAAGATCCATTGTATAATGTTGCACATTCTGCAGGAGAGAAAGGAGAGAAAGAGAGAGGGACGACGTATACATAATTACGGTACATTTATACTGACACCATGCCGTTGATCAAATCTTGAAGTACTGTGCAAAGGTTCATTCTGTTGTTCAATTCAGCTGAGAACTCAACGATCATTTTGGAACGGTTTAATGGTTTAATTGTTATTGGTTATGTGCGCATGCATCCGTTTTTTGGGAGCACTGAACATGATCAACCTGTCGCCGAGTTCACGGATGCCATGGCCACATTCGGCCCTCTCCTGGTCGGCCTGGCGTCGATCCGTGAGGACTTGGAGAATGAGTTGGCCAGAAGAACTCATCTCTACCAGCGACTGCTGAAGAAGATGGATCAGAAGTGCGCCATGATCGATCGAACCATCGCAGGGAGATTGTTTGGGGACGTGAAGAAACGTGGCATATGATTTGGCACGAGGAGTTTGGAGTGTGAAAAGAGAGGCACGGGAGGTTCGCTTGGATAGGGCCTTCCAACTGATTGGTTCACCATTCATGACATGATATGTTCTGCAGATTCGCATAGATTCGCCATCATTGGTGATGCCCCTCAACATCTCCAAGCACCTCCATGTTGCTCTTGGGGCACATGGCACAACTCACGAAGAGGGACAGGGATGTGGTGTTACTAGTTTGCTCACTCCTCAAGCCCCAAGGCTCCCAAAAACTATTCCCGCAGGTTGAAGTCAGAAGCTTCTCAAAAAAGAGCCCGGCCGCCAGTCGGGAGAGGGGCATGTAGCGCCGCAGAGCCCTGCGTGCCAAAAGTGGCATGTGAAGTCTTTGGTGCTTGGGGGGGTGGTGACGGTCGTGACGGGTGAAGTCTTTTTCGGTCCAATGATTTCCCTATAGTTCATGGAAGGGGGGGCTTGGATGCAAGTCAATAATTATCAGCAGGGTCTTTGTTTTCAGTGACCTTTTCATGAATTGTGTGTTTTCAGGCTTGGCAAACTCATGAGCCCAACAGTCAGGCTAAGTTCCTTCTCTGGGACCTGAGGACCAGCACGCAGGGGAAATCCATGGAATCCGTCATGGAGCAGGAGAATCCGTTGACTGGGCTGCGGGAATGTGAGGGATACAGTAGACGAGCAGAAGCCAAGTCAGTCGGTAAGGTTCAACAGACTATGTTGGTTTGTTTCCATGTGTATATAATGTATAATTATATATATATTAACTATATAACTATATCAACAGGGACGGGAGAGAAACTTCATTGTCCACTGAAAGAGGTTCTGGAATGCTTTCACTCTACTCTCCTCGGTTTGGGAGACAGACGAAGTCTTGTTTCATCACACAAACGTCCCGAAGTTCCTTCGTCGTCCGCATGTGCCGGATGTCCTCCGACTGCGGACGAGGAGAGCTTCTCGATCGGAGGCTCTCAGGAGATGGGGAGTCAGGGCCGCCCAGATGGAGCGAGCTCAAACGGGTTCAACGCGGAAGGACGGGACGTCCGGATGAGATGGACGAGGGATCTTCCTTCCAAAGGGATTGGGGTGAAGGAGCTGGGTGCAGGATCGGCAGTTTCGGATCAGAAGAAGTGAGTTCTGTTTGACCAAGAAAACAAGGCATCTTGGCTACTTGGCTTCCTGTAAGATTTGTTTACAAACATGACGTTGGCTTCAACTGCCGGATCTCTTGAAACCCTATTTGTGCACAGTCCTGAACATCGCGGGTTCCGCTCGCGTTCTTCCTCGGCTATCCAGGCATGAACATCTCCTCCGAAGAGTACAGTCGCGTGCAAAGACAGATGGAGGCCGCCGGGGACGTCACGTCGCTGGCACCGGGCTCCGTGGCACCGCTGCGATTTCGCACGTGGTGTCGGTGTTGGTGTGCGGATTGTAGGACGGCAGCAAAGCGGAAGCACCAAGACGACGGTCGCGGTCTTGGAGCTGTTGAAAAAGACATGAAAAGACGAAGCTGTCAGGATCATCAGAGTACTCTGCAGATGGCTGGTGCCCTAGGGGATCCTACGGGGTTGTGGACATGCAAAGAAGTGTAGGTGGGCTGGGTGAACAAAACAAAGTCCCGCTTTGGATCAAGCATGGTTCACATGGGCAAGAAATGTATGACTAGCTCAGCCCCGTGTTCGTTCAAGCAATTGCAATAACCCCTTCCTGGAAACCAGAAGAATGGTCCGCCATGCTTGGAGATCAATGCCAACACGTATAGACTAAGGTTTCAGGCATGTTAGGATTGTTAGGGTTGGAAATCGTTCCAATCCTCAAACTTGCTTTGGCATCAGAAACCAGGCAAAACGTTTAGTTTAGAAGAGACTCCGCAATGATTCAAATTAACACATTGATGCTCAATCATGTTAAGTTGGTGTTCTATGTTTTGCCTTAAATCCCAAGTTGATGTCGAAAGGATTCACGTTTAACACTTATACACGTTTGTCAAGTGTGTGCTTTTTTCCGAATGGCCACCGGACCTGGAAACTAAAAGAGTCAGAAATGTGTCGAATCGAACCCGTGCCTAAGTCAATATATTATACTTAAGTGAGAAAGTGTATATAGTTTTATGTGTTGTTGTTTCTTTTGTGTGTGTGTGTGTGTTTTGTTTGTTGTTTGTTTGCTGTTGTTGTGTTCTATGCGTTTTTTTTTGCCTTTTGGTTTAGTCATGTTGGTTTAGTCATGGTTAGTCACAGTCCTTTCTTGTAGTCAAGCCTCTTCTGACAAAAGACATCCGTCCACTTGCCTTAGACGAAAGAATGTCAGAAGCACTTGGATCGTTCAGAAATGAGTAACCTTCTTTCTTGGCACAGCCTTCCCTTTTTGTGTGCTTTGTTTGACAAGGAAGTCTTCGGGAGTTGTTCCAAGCTAGTGGCGCAACGACATGCCATTCATCTAGACTTTGGGTGAAGAACACCGCCACTCACCCTAAGAATCTATACATGAATCATAATTTACCTGTGGAGTTTTTTGCCACATTCCTGCTGGGGATTAAGGCATCCAAACACACTGCAAAAAAAGAAACGTCAAGTTTCTCCAGTGTTTTCTTCGCTTTCTGCTTGACCCACCTTCAACCTTGGTCCATGGCGAAACCCACACCGTTCCGGTCACCTGACCCCCCCGCAGACCCCACGGCCTCCGGTGCCTCCGACCTCACGGCCTCAGTCCCGAGGTGCGGCACGAGTTCGCGCAGTACCGCCGGGACCATGCGACCTTGGCCCAGCTCCAGGCAGCCGACCGAACCCGGACGGACCGGCTTCAGACGCGCAGACTCGGCGGAGAACAAGTGCCGGAGTGGTGGTTTTGGGCATTCCTGGTGTGTTTTGGGTGGAAGGACCAGAGCACACGGCTCATCATCTCCGCCCTTTATGAGCTGAAGCAGCAGAAGGAGCAAGGGGGGGAAGGGATGGAACGGGACTGGGCCTGCTGGGACAGATTGATTGATCAACTTGGTTTCACCTTACAGGGCGGTGGGAGGGTTTACTAGTTTGCTTCATGAGGGAAGCCCCCCGCAAATGCTAATTTTACATACTGTTGCATGTTCATGTATATATGTTCGTGTCACGCCCTCATCATGGAAGGCACTCAAGTGATGTCCAACCAACACTTCCTGTAGAGTAGACGGTCCACTATTTTGAGTCAAGAAAGCAGCAAGGTGCCAAACCACCACTAAATCCAGAACATGGCCAGGCAGGTGTTTTGAAATCACTGAAACCCAGAACTCACAGGGTGGACTTGACTCCCCTTCACCTTGCGAAATGTGGACGCTTGCGTTGAAGACGGCCCTTCGACTTGACTCGCTGAACCCTCGCGCGAGTCGCAGGACCAAGCGCCCTTCCCGCCCACGACGCTGGGGATCTCCAGAGAAGTCAATGACAACTGGGGACTGGGGATCTCCTTTCAGAAGTCATTGGAGTCAATCCAACTCCAATCCAATGGAGGGATGGCTGAAGTTGGAGAAATTTCACACCTGCAGTGACCTTTTGCGAGCATTGGCGAGTCAATAGATGTTGATAGTCATTTTCTCCATGACTTAGATGGCCTATGGCCTAGATATGCCTAGCCTAGATACATGCCGCATGCCTATACTAAGACTATATATTGGTTGGTTGAGAAATTGAGGGGATACTCCCAAAAAAGCAATTGCTCATGGCTGTTAGATAGCTCTCTCCAATTTTGTTGGGTTAACCCCATCCACCACTGACCACCAAATGGCACTATGATTGCACCCAGATGTGTTCAGGACTGCCGTTTGCCGCCATGACCCATCTTGGGCCTCTCGAGGTATGACCCAGAGGCGGAGTGGCAGTTCACCAACATGACCCCGAAGCAGAAGGAGTGCCCTCCGCTGCGGGAAGCCAACGAAGGGGGCACAGGTGGTTTGGCGGGCGGAAGGCACAGAACCGGGAGGTGTCTGTGGCAAGAATTCCATCCTCAAATTGTATCAAAACTACGTAACTACCCGGCTCTTGGGGTGTTTGGCTTTCTTTGAAGAAGTCATCAGAAATCATGGACGCAGGTTTCTTCTTTTTTCCGGAGGATATCCTCCGATGATTGTCGTGGGAGCACCCCGAGGAAACTTCAATGTGAAACCTGACGCAGGGGACGCAGGAACCTCCTCAACCAACCAGTCCTTCGAGGTGTTCTGCCATATCAATCAGTGTCCTTTTTCGCTTCCTTCATCGGTTGAACGTTTTGATTGACACTCAAGTGATGTGAAGGAAGTGATGCTTGACCTGCCAGTTGATGCGGAGCCCCGTATGATCGATATGTGGTCTGACCTTTGAAGGGTGTTCTGGCTCGTTTGGAATCCGACACCCATTGGGCTGCACCCCGCGCTGCACCCCAGCAGCTGCCTAGCAGCTGCCTAGGGCAGCTGCCTACATCCCTTCACCCCGACCTCTTTTGTGGCCTGGATTGGGACCAGGTCGGGCCGAAAAGCGCTGACAGGTACTTCTTTCGAGTTTTGTTGGAGAAGTTGAATAGCAGCATGTGTGCCATGTGCTTCCCCGTGGGCTTGGAGCTCAGGAGTGTTTGCAACGTAAGCATAACGTGCTTTTTGTTGTTTCCTTCACCACTTCATGGTTGTTCTTTTTTCTCATTATCAATCTCCAAAACGCATCGTGAAATGGCCTGTCAGATCTCTGTGATCGGATGGGTGGCAAGAGGTCAACTTTAGCATACGAACATGCTGGACGCATCAGTATGTAAATACTCCAGAACATGGAGACCCACCTTAGGCCGTACACGGGACTCATCTCCGCCATTTACGGCATCCCACCTAATAGATTCATGACGCCAAACAGATGCCAACAGGAGAACATCATCCTTTCCCTTCCTACCTCGTGATACCTTGTTTCTGTAGATATGATATGTGTTTAATATGTGTTTCATGGATATTTCGAACGGAGCGTTTCTGGTCATCATCGAACCCAGCGACTCGGGCCAATTCCGGCCAACGTCGACGTTCGTCCTCCGGGTCTGTTGGGTCCGTCGACGTTCGTGCGCTTCCAAGGTCCAGAGGCCTCGACTGCTAGCTTGCCGCCCATTGGCAAAGAGAAGGAGGCAGGACGGAGAGGAGGAAGGCTGTGGGGACGACGAACTGGACGAAGTTGGGAGCTTTGAGCTCTGGGGTGAGTGGACTTGGAGGTTGGGGGCTGGGGGGTCATGATCTTGTTGAACAGCTTGAGAAGAAGGGCATGCTGTGGGTCTCCATGTGCACAGGCAACGCGCTTCTCTCAGTTCCTTTGGTCAGTTGCAGATAGTGGCTCAGTCCAAGGCGGGGATGGAAGCATGGGGAGACATGGGGGGAAGGGTTGCAGAAGCTCGGCCCAGGTGGAAGGTGCTTTGGAGAGGTTTTGGGAGGTGTGCAAGATAAGAAACTTGTTTGGAATCCAATTCTATTGCTTTTGAGTCGTTCACCCTGGAAAACCTTTAGAATGTTCATCCAAATGCTGGTTTTGTTGAGAGCTCCTTTGAATGTAACGGGAAGGAGTTGATGACAAGATGGATCTTGTTGGCGGGCGATTACTTTTGCAGGCCAAAAGGCTGACAAGGTTGTTGTTCATGGGATGTGAACTATGGCAGGACCTTTTCTGATGTGCTTCTTTCACTTAAAATGGCCCTTTCCGAAACTTGAGCGTTTAAATGTGCTGAAACGCGTTGAAACATGTTGAAACCCAACATGAGGATGAGACAAATTCATACAAATTCTATGCTTTCAGTGGAGCCTGGCTCGGTGTATTCGACAGATATGACTCGTTTGGAGCCCAGTGGACCTCCACTCTCCGTCCGGACGCACGCGTCGGTCCTCCAGGACTCGATGTCGGGGGTTCGGACGGTCCGAACGCACATTGCCTTCCAAAGTCTCAAGTCTAATCACTTGGAAGATCACTGAAAGTGAATGAAGATAAAGGAAGATCATTAAATGGAATGGAAGTCCCAATCACTTGGAAGGACTTTACTGGAAGATCATAGGGGTTTTCTGTGAAAATCATTCCTGCAGTGTAAATGTTCCGGATCTTTTTCCAGTGGTTCACTGGAATTATTCGAAGTGGTTCCAGATCTACTTCTCTGAGGTTCCGACTCAAATCCCAAGGGATGGTTTGTACAAGCTCCTAGGGACATTTGAGCAACGAATGCTGCAGGTTAGGACAATTCTATACAATTCTCATATGATTGTACAGCTGACATTTGTTGCAGACGTTGAACGCCAGTTTTGGAGGCCTCACCATGCAACGCCGTTGGTGTGGCGGTTCAGTTTCATCCAATGCTCAGAATGGACTGTTGCTGCGTGAAACAGGTATTACATGATTTGGTATGTGGCCGATGTTCTCCTATAGCCTTTAGGTGTCAGATAGTCAAATGACGTGTCGGCCTGTAAGTCTAGCACTCCATTCCTCACCTCCCTTCATTTCAATATGTTTCAACACTGCTTCTCCGCCCACGCGTCGGCGACCAACCCTCGGGCTCAAACAACATGTTCTCACCATCCTCGCTATGCTCACTCGCTGTACTCACTCACTCGAAGCCTCGCAGGGCGGCAAGAGATGTGCACCAAGGGTTGTCAGACCGAAACCTCGGCCAATGACCCCTGCCTCAAGGTGCCGCTTCGCGGCACGCGCGGATCGAAACCGTTGGGGTCGGGGAAATCACTGCCGGCGGCCGGGAAAAAGGCAACGGAGGGCTTTGAAGGTGTCCAGGAGATTGCTTTGGGAACCGGTTATTTATGTTTAGGGATGTGGTCAACTTTGGTTTCTGCTGGGCTATTTGAAGCCCAAGTGGCACAGTTTGTTGGCAAAGCCAATGTCAGTTGCCAATTCTCACGTTTCGTTTTGGCAGCCCAAACTCCTTGAAGACCAAATCATCCTCAAGCAAGCATGATTCTGCAGTTGAACTGCATGTATCCTACAACTCTTGCATCTCCCGTTTTCCTCACAGGCTGCCTTCGTGTTTACCATCCCTGTGGTCATTTGATGTTGGTTTTCCATCCCAACCTGTTGAGTGCCCCAGCTTCGCTGTGGACATGTAGAGCACACCCAGCTTCCTGGACCTGGATGTTCACTTGATGAATTGATGACCCACCCCTACCAGACGGGTTTTACATCTCCAACTGGGGGTTCCCAAGGGCCGCAGCGGAGGAATCCCGGTCGCGCCAGGAGGGCATTTGGAATCCCAAGGGAAAGACCTCGCACTTGAACTCCGCGGGCATGCTCACTGCGGGCATTGCTGGGGGGACCCGGGCAAAGCGAAGTTCCGACCGGTGGAAAGGCATTGAGAGGTTGTGGTTGCTGTTGTTGTTGTCGTCGCCAAGTCATGCGATGGCTTCGGGTGTTTCTTTGGTGTTTTTTTTATCGTTGTTGTCTTGCTGTTTGTGGCACTGGTATGGCTTTGTAAAATCAAAGTATACTAGTAGGTATAACCACCAGGGTCACAGGGTGGGTATTTCTTTGAATGTTTTGTGATAGACGGTTATAGAATACCATCAGATGCTTGGTCCTTGCAGGGTAGGGACATGTAAGAACGTTAAGCACGCTGGTGATCACCCGCCTGTTGATATATCTGAATATCCTTGCAATCCACGTCCAAAACTTTCAATATACTGGGTTTGATTTCACACCATACTGTTCAGTACTGTTGATAAGTGATGCAGGACAACCAACAATCAATAAACGGTTGCAAAAGCCTCCGAAACTGGAGCTGTTAGACCTGAACCTTTATTCGTGGGCTTCCAAATTAACTAAGTCCGTGGTCATCTAAAGCTTCAGCGATTGAACGCGCACCCCGAGGCGGCGGGCCATGTGCGGAACTGGGGCCCCAAGGCCGTATCTCACCGGCGGAACGGGCTGTGACGAAGGTAGACGTCAACATACTGAATTGGTGTTATTTGGTGTTTGACACAGTTTGGGATTTAGGTATGTAATGTCCAACACACATTTGCATGTGCTTGGTACATTGAATACTAATGTTTGTTTGGTTTCTGGATCCACTTGCTTGAGTTTTTTCAACAACGCACTGCAGTCTCAGACCACTCAGCGCCGGCCGAAAACCCGGGCGAACATCGTTTCACCCAACGCTCCACGGAGCACGGCACATGTGGCGTCGATTTGAGCTCCCTGCGCTCGCCCCCGCCAAACGGTGGGAAGGGAGTGGAGCAGAGTCCGCCATGAGATGGCCGCAGGAGATGAAGGAAGGAGGTGGGTTTCGTACGTATGTTTTTGCCACGGGGACCGTGCAAGGTTTGAATCGCTGGGTTCCCCTTCATGACTTACCAGCATCTATAAGGAATACCAACTCATACACCCTATACCACATGATCATTTTGGATTTTAAATCTAGAGCCTAAATGGGTTCCGGCAGCGTCGAATGCTTCATCATGCAGGGCATTTGGATTTACATGTAGTAACATCATGCAGATGCTTGATGATACATTTAAGCACACAAAGTATATATGTTGTATAGCGATGCTGATACATTGGACTGCGGCTTGTGCTTTCTCTTCGGACCACTGGCCACCGGCTTGTCCAGTCGTGTCCCCCTCGTTGGGTGTCGTGTTTCGACGACGTGCGACCAATCGGGGAAAGGAACCCAGAAAACTGAAGATGATCCCAGTACCAGCCAGGTAAGATGATTGGCATAGAACGAAGGAAGATGTTGGCATGTATTTTCATAGGGAGACCCCCAACCAATGGGTTTTTGATGGTTTTTGGTCTATTGGTCTTTGGCAGGTCTTCGTGAGTGCAGGGAAGCAAAAGGTACTGCTGAACTGATGAAAGCAAGAACACTTAAAACTTAAACCATTGTTTCTGCCTTCACCAGCTCTTTTCTCTTCGGCTCGACAACTCGAAGGGTGCGTCAAGCAAACTTTGCCGGACAGAAATCGCTTGGTCTTTAGTCAAATAAAGACATTACTGTCCAAACATGTCAGGTAAGTGTTCATTCATCTCCAAAGGGGGGGGAAACGGGACCAGAAGTCTCCAGCTCTCCATGCGCGACACCCCAAGGCCCGAGGGGCACCACCGGCGGGCCGTGTTGGTCAGCGCACGTCCCATGGGGAAACAGCGCGAAACTTCGGTGCGCAGGTTGTGGCGTGTGCATTGAAGTGGCGTTGTTGGATCGTAGTGCAGAGCTTGCATGGCATCAGCATCAGATCTCGGTTGTGTAGCACTTCAATAGAAGACATGTCTTGAAATTCACCCAGATTCATGCGAATGGGATCCCATCATGAGCTACTATGTAGCTCAAACCAAGAGAGACGTGGCAGCCAGGGCTTTTCCATTCGGATCTCATTTGGACTCTCCACCAGTATATGATTACACAGGTGGACTCCGTGCTCTTCCAGTGTCTTTGTGACCTTGCTTGGATCTAGGTGCTACAGTAAATTAAAGTTGCCAACCACAGAAAGCCAAAGAAAGCTGGAGCAACATGGAGCAACATCTTGCGTTGACAAGGCATTTTGGACATCGAATATGTGCCTGGATTTGTAACACACACAAGGATCAACCCGACGCTACAAAAAGATGGTCACTTGCTCTCACACGAAACTGCAAGGCACTTCATCTATCATCTGTCTCGTTGAAGTGTTTTTCTGATTTCAGTGGCCTTTCAGATTCTGACAAACGGTCCAGTAAACCTGCTACAGGTTGCCTAGAGCAGCCATGGTTTTGATACTGGTACCTGTGTGACAAAACAACAACCACAGCAACTACAAGCAAGTGGACCGAATCTCATCTAGTCCTCCCTAGCTTTGCTTCATCCGAAACGTCCTTCCTTTGCTTCTACGTGCCGACATGGAAGCCTTCGAAGTCGAGACGAAGGCCGCTCCGATGGGCGGAGTCTCGCAAGCGGCCGCTCCATGTCTTCAGTGACCGACCAGAAGGGTGGGCCCCAGTCCTTTCACAATTCTGCCGAAGTGCCCGATAGAACCTTCAAGACAGAACCTCTTACAAAAGGTGAAAAACACAAACTAAAGAGCTCCGAACTTTCTCTTGATTCCACCCGCACAAAAGCTCGCGGAGGTTGAAAGCTCGCGGGAAAGCTCGCAGCCCGAGGACAGGGATTGGTTCGGGACGACAGGGTAGGGAGCCCCCCGAACCGGGCTTTGCTTTGGTCTATGTTCTTCTTTGGTCGTTTGGGGTTGTTTGGGAGGTCTCCCTATTTCAATCCTGCGCCCAACTAAAGAGGCCCTGGTGAGGCTAGTTTTTAGTGTGTCGGTAGTCCCTTGATCTGTGATGTTGATATCAAGAAGGATCCAGGAATAGCTTATGTATATATATATATATGTATATTATATGTGATCTTATTTGGTGGACAGTTTTGTCAGGAACCTGGAATCTCTATTTACACTACTTGCTAGTGGGTGAGCATTTCCATCGGAGGGACAAGACCAAGGCCTAGGCATTTCAAAACAGTGATCAGGTTTGAGATGATTTGAGGAACAACCCTGTGTTTACAGTGAAGTCATTGACACATCTGCTTGAACACCAACCAACCTTCTTCATTGACCTATGTACTACCCTCCCTAAATTTAACGGAGCACCTCATGCTACAGACATGCTCGCTAACCTTACCAACTTACACCGGAGGCTTCCTGAGATGATGAGGCCGAGACCTCGAATTCTCGACGCGGCGTAGAGACATGCGTTCACTAAGCAAACCCGCGACTGCCGAGAGAGAAAACACACACACAGCAACAAATCTATCAACTAAGAAAGCACATCGCGCCCTTTGATGCATCCACTCGCTACAAAACCGACTGAGACGGCTCCATCTTTTGCCCCCCAACGCACACCACCCCCCGGTCGCCGGCCGCTTTCCAGGCGCAGCGCAGCTCCCTCTTCAGCGCTTATGCGTGGCTCGGTGGTACGGAGTCACCGGGGAGATGGCGGTGGGAGGAGGTCGGCCCAGATCCACCAAGTACGACCGGACCCTCCAAGAGGTGTTTGTACATAGCCTCTTGGAGGCGCAAGAGGTGTCCAAAAACCACCTGTTGGAAGGTCCTGGTATATAATGGAGGATTGGTGAGAACAGGCTGTCTTCTGGTTGATTGGATGTGAACAACCCGAGCGAAATCATGTGTTTGTTCCTCTCTTCGGTCGGGTGCTGCTACGTAGCAACCTCCCTTCAGTGTATTGGTTCAATGATGGATTGTTGATTTTGCAATGTCACTGTCTCATCCGGTCGTAGTCGTGTTTTGCAGATCACAGACCGGCACAGGCGGCACAGGACCGTTAGGACGGCGACGTTAGGACCATGGACTCCGTGGGTCAAGGTGCGTCTAACTGGCCCATCCACTCTCCGCGGTGGAGGATTTGTTTGTTTCATGAACTTTGCCCGCTTTGCCCCAACAGAGATGATGCAATTGGAAGCCACAGAAGGAATCAGAAGGATGTCCTGATGCAGGTTTTTGCACCCGATGTAACGATGTTAGCAGCTAAGCAGAAGTGACGATCAGGATTGCAAGGATCAGAGCAAAACGCGGCGAGGTAATTGGATCGTGTTTCTTTTTCTTCTTTTTTCTTGTTTTTTGCAAATGAGTCAAATGAGGAACACCACCAGCACCATCTTGGGGGCTGGAACCTTGGCGGTGCCCATTGCCATGAGCAGCGCCGGGGTCGTATCTTACGCACCCCGATGCAGGAAGAGGGGGCATGGCGATCGTCAGGCGTCTGGGCGACCTTAAAAAGAAAAACACCAAGATTGTCAGCTGGGAACCATGGGGAAATCATCTTCAGAACCTGCCAAAGACATGATGTGGCCACATTCCACTGGACATCTACAAGAAGAAGTTGGTGAGGCCCCAACTTTCAGCGACACCTCATGCACACCAGACGCGTGGGCGTCGACGCCCGTGGCTGCACGTGGTTCCTGCAATCCAAGGGAATTGCAATCAATTTCTGGAAGCGAATGACCTCCAACCTGGAAGGGAATGGCCTCCATGAATTTCTAGGATGAGCCTCTGGGTAGGATGGGTCCAATGAGGGTTGCTGTCCCAAGAATCCATTTAGCCTGCCGTGGGGATGCAAACTAATACTCAGAATTCTGGATCATTGTCCGATAGCGTCGTTTCAGAGTATCTTGGCGCAGATGTCCTTAGACGTCCTTTGGGATGGAGGGTCCATTTAACCAACCAAGTTGGGGTAACTTGTGCCATCTACTGCTGAAATTACTCAACTGTGCCTCCACTTGTTAGTGAAGATAGTGAAGTTCTGAAAGGAGTTCAGTGTTCTACTACGACGGAGGTGCTTGTTGTTCACGTGCATCTTGAAGCTCAGAAGACCGTTTGCCTGCATAGCACCGTCGACCGGGTTCTTCCACGGGCGAAACTCCACGAAGAAAACCTCTTCGCTGGACCTGAGGCCCTCATTACGATCTTCGTGATCATGGTGAATAGCCAAACCGTGCCTTGGACTGCACCGGTTTTTTCCTCAGGGGCTCCAGCCTGGAAGGCCCAGCCTTGCGCTGC